CCGTGCCGTGGCGAGCCGCTATTCACGAACACCGTTCGTTAGTAACGTTCAGGAGTGTGGAATGAAAAATTGTTTCAAGTTTTGAATGTAGCGTAACAGAACTCATTATGAAACTTCTTTTTTTTAGATTACCTGGTTCCTTTCCGTTAGTTGCTGCAAAGTCGTTCGTGGTTTCAGCTGTTAGCCAAGAATAACGTGACGCACCCATTCAGCAGAAAAAAGGAGTTACTCACAAATAATGAAATCATAGTCAGTTAATTACGACGATCAGCAACTAGGCTCTTAAAGACGAAGATTCCAGGAAAATTTCGTGATTTACTCGTTTAAAGAGTTTAAAATTTTGGTAGTTTCTTTTGGATCATCAGATCTTAAAGGATCAATGTTTAGAGGGAGGTAATTTTGAATTTAGATGCGTAGGTCTTTGGGAAAGATAGCAAAATATGGTCGATTGCAAGGGGTATGTCGCTTGAATTGACAGTTGAATATGTATTTGAAAAGGTAGGTACTAAAATTCAAAAATTCATGTTTAACACCTGGCAGAGGTTCATCTTTGCCGTACAATGTACACATGACCTGACAGCCTTCCATCCCTTTCATCCTGATCTATGCTCCCCTCATCCACGATGAGGAGACTATCCGCAGATTTTGCAAAGTAAAGAGCATTGTAAGCCTGTTTTTTTTTTTTTTTTTTTTTTTTTTTGGCAAGAACAAGTTTTTTGATAGCTTTTCCCACAATTGCATGAAATTGATTTTTAAAGCTCTTGAGGCGCGGGATTTTTCTGCATTGAAATTGGGAATAATCCAGTTTCACAATTTACCCACCCCCCACTGTAATGGAGATATTTTTTAACCATACCACATCTGTATTTGAAAGTTACTTAACTCTGAAGGAATGCAAACGCGCAGAATCTGTGGAAGGGGGCAAGGAAGCTAAATTCGGTGCATTTTTGCTTGTCCATTGTGTGCACTACTGGCATGTCCCATGTAGCAGTGATCGCGATGAATAGCAATTTTATCGGTTGGTTATCGTGATTATATTATTGGCAATATATCAAGATATTATCGCATTAAAAATCGCCATATATGGCGCTTAAATCGCTCCTTACCTATCGCAATTTTTGGTTCTCTAAAGTCGTGATTAATTTTCGTCGACAAAATCGAGATTAAATCGCCATTTATCACGATTTTTATTTCGGAAATATCGCGATAAATTGTCGGGCGATAAAAGCGTAATTTTATCGCGATAAGATCGAGGATAATTGCTCAGATACCTAATGTTGATGATCCTGGCGATTTTATCGCCGATAAAATCGCAATACTTTTACCTATAGCGATTTTTCCGTTAAGAAATGCTATTTGGGATAAATTGATTCAATGGAACATTAGTAACATGAGCACTGTGCTTAGAGGAGAAGAAACAATTTTTCCCCTGCACTCACTACTGCCTCTGATGGGACATTAGGTACTTTGAAAATTTGAGCCTCTATAAAATATTTTCCTTTTGTAAGGCCTTGTCTCCACGGGACGTTTTCATGGGATTTGTCTCAAGTTCGAATCGCAGGAATGAAACTCCTGGGATTTTTCCCAGTTACCGTCTCCACGAGACGGGGCTCATACAGTCCTGCGACTAGTTTGCGCGGGAAGATATATTAGTTAAAGTCGAGTATTTAACCGGGATTAAAATAATAATTGCACTCAATTGACAATTATATAGACACATTATTTTAACTAAACAAACATGAAAAATGCAGTAATGAATAAAATATTGCACAATTCGTTTTCACTTTTTCTTCTTCTCTCAGTGGGTCCTAGTACCATACTTGGTACTGGGAAAAATATTGATTAACTCAATATTTTTCCCAACTTCGTAAGAGGGATTTTTCCCTGGGACAAATCTCGTTAAACGGCTCATGGAGACAAGGCCTAACAATTTAAAGAGGTTGTGTTTCCTTTGCGGAAAAATAGCAGGATGTGGTATCACAACCGGACCGGAGCATGCACATTATTCATTCTCTTGGTCCATGGTTTCGGACCGAACGAACGCGTTTCCTCGGAAATATGAGGAGAGTTAATTTTCCTTGAAACAAAAGCGATTTTTCCAATTTCATTTTGGTCAATTTCAAGCTCTATATAGTTGATAGAAAATCAAAGATACTTGACTTCAAGCATTAACTTTAATTTGATTATTAGCAAGTCTCTTTGATTTTTCGCTGGGTCAGAAGTTGACTGAATCATCGAATTTGCTCGTGTTTTGATAAGATACTATCAAAGTCTTTCGCATTGACCTCTGCAGAAAGTATGAACCTATACTATTTCATTAGTTTGCGAAAGTAAAATGTATTAAAGTATCTAAATAAATAAACCATAAATTTGCAACGAACATTGCTTGGAATACTACCTACTAAAGAGTGAGATCCATCCATATAGGTCCAAGATCCATCCAAATACAGGGTGATCCAGACCACCCGTCCACTATCTTTTTCTCGAAAACGGCTGAAAATTGAGCTTCGGGAGGTTAATCGGGTAAAAATCCCAAAGAATCGAATGAAAATATTTACAGCCCCCCAAAATGGTCCCTTGGAGGAGGGGGGGGGGTGTTGCCTCCCCGTTTCTCGCGATTTTCAAACAGGAAGGGTAAGTTTTGACTTTGAATTCGGAATCTACAGCAAAAACTAAGAACATTGTGTTTTTTTCGCTTTGTCCCTAAACCCCCATTTTTTGGAGTTAGGTATGGAGCATTTTCGGGGCAATTTTCAATTCGATGCTGTAATAAGCGGCAAAATTATTCAAATTTCAAAATCTAAAAATCTTATGAGAGGAGAGGTCAATACCTTTTTAGTGATGTGCCATATGACCCCTGTTGCTCCAAAATTTTGGGGGCCGCGACCCCCCCCCCCTAAAAAAAAATTGGGGGCTTTGGAGGACCCTAAGTCGAAATTTCAAACAGCAAGGGTATGTTTCGACTTCAGATATGAATTCCTCGCGAAAAGTAACGTAGTATTGATAGGGCGCAAGACCTAACGAAATTACTGAAGAACCCCATTTCCCCATAAGAAGCCGTGTATTTTTGGAGAAAATAAGGGGCAAAAATAATTTGAAGCAAACGGGCCATACGTCATGTTAATTCTACGTAACTTTTCGTGTAGAATCCAAATCTGAAATCAAAACATACCCTTGTCATTTGAAATTTTCGACTTACGGTCCTCCAAAGCCCCAATTTTTTTTTTTTTGGGGGGGGGGGGTGGTCGTGGCCCCCAAAATTTTGGAGCAACAGGGGTCATATGGCACATCACTAAAAAGGTATTGACCTCTCCTCTCATAAGATTTTTAGATTTTGAAATTCGAATAATTTTGCCGCTTATTACAGCATCGAATTGAAAATTGCCTCGAAAATTGCTCCATGACTCCAAAAAATGGGGGTTTAGGGAAAAAGCGCAAAGAACACAATGTTATTAGTTTTTGCCGTTTAGAATTAACATAACGTATGGCCCGTTTGCTTCAAATTCTTTTTGCCCCTTATTTTCTCCAAAAATACACGGCTTCTTACGGGGAAATGGGGTTCTTCAGTAATTTGGAGCAAACAGGTCTTGCGCCATATCAATACTACGTTACTTTTCGTGAGGAATTCATATCTGAAGTCGAAACATACCCTTGCTGTTTGAAATTTCGACCTACGGTCCTCCAAAGCCCCCAATTTTTTTTTAGGGGGGGGGGGGTCGTGGCCCCCAAAATTTTGGAGCAACAGGGGTCATATGGCACATCACTAAAAAGGTATTGACCTCTCCTCTCATAAGATTTTTAGATTTTGAAGTTTGAATAATTTTGCCGCTTATTACAGCATCGAATTGAAAATTGCCTCGAAAATGCCCCATGACTCCAAAAAATGGGGGTTTAGGGAGAAAGTGCAAAGAACACAATGTTCTTAGTTTTTGGCGTAAATTCCGAATTCAAAGTCAAAACATACCCTTCC